GCCGCCCCAGGGGTCGGCGGATATTAATAATATTAATATAATTACTATTAATATTATTCATATTAATATTATGAATATTAGTATTTCAAAGTCATGCTTTGGGAGCCCAGGCCGGCCAGCTGAACGCTGCCTTCTTAGTCCCAGCGTGCTTTGAACATCCCAGCCTGCAACTGGTGGCAGAGGGCATTTCTGTGCTCCAGGTCTACGTCGCAGGCATACCAGAAGCCTGCACCGAGATGGAGTTCAGGAGCTGCCACTATTACACGTAGTGGTTTGCTTTGATCATCAGTCAAGCGTGCTTGTGATGCACGATTGCACCCAACTGTGAGGGACTTCTTCGCACGGCATGGCACAGTTACTTCTGTAAAGCTGTCAGATCAGCCGAGGCCTCAGGCAGCTTCTTGTATGAAAGGTGGCCATTTGTATGGGGTCAAGGACGAAAAATGGCACGCGATATGGCTTCGTGAACTTCACGACCTCCGAGGAGGTGCCCATCCTCGCCTCATCCGAATTTGAGAGAAAGCGTATGGGCAAGGCATCAAAGGCCATACAGGCCACCAACAACTACCAGCTTGGGCAAAGCGTGTGGGGGCCTCAGATGACTTCCCGCATGCTTCAGAAGACCTGTCCCCAAACCCAGCAAGGCTTACAGTCCGTTTTGCAAACAACACCAAAGGACATGGCTGGGGCCTTGGCAGAGAAGCTCTGAGCCAAGCATTTCCGAGCCCATTTCAGCGAGGAAAAGGGCCTAGCCCTGGTGCCACCTCCACTGCCAGGGTCTTGAGTTCCGGATTCCGGACAACACAAGAAACCTGTTTCTTTGACTTGCCAGGCACCAGCAGGATACTCTGAAGATTGGCCAAAATATCCGCCATCTGACACAATGGTGGTACAGGCAACACGCCCAGTGATCCTGGTAGTATTTGCAGTGCCTGACTGCCGAAACACTTGCATGCAACTGTGACTGCAGGGCCTTTCCGCTAACCTCTCAGAAGACAACATCAAGGCTGTCTTCACGAATTATGGGCAGGTGGGAAGCAACATTTGGCGGATAGCACTTGCTGAAATCCAGACTAGTACACACGGACGCCTCCTCACCTATTGCGTTTGTTGCGCGGCGCTGGCAGCAGGTATTGCAAGTCAGAATTTTGGAGCAGCACTGGCCCGAGAGTGAGAAGCATGATGCTGCATGTTAATTGCTCTTCTTGCTATGCTGAGCATGTTCTCATGACATACAACCCTAGTTTGAGGTCAAGGTAGGGCACTTCCAGCTTACTGGCAGGTATGAGGGGCTGCTCTCAGTCGAAGTCAAGACCTGCCCTGAGTACAGTCCATCACGAGATCTCTCGCGTCTTTTTGAATGACATTCGAGCCCAACTGAGCCACAACAGTGAAGACATCATTTGCCTCCTAGGATGGGCACTGTGGAGCAGGCAGAATGGATTGTAGGCAAGCTGGCCCGGGGCCTACCCCAGCAATGCGCGATGGTGGATGAGGCCCAACCCACGTGAGTATTTTCTTATAGCTACAGGCCCAGAACCTGCAGATATATAGTCGGGAAGTCCGAAGCACCGATTGGGATCCCTTACACTGGCCTAGCACTTGGAGCCCCGCCTTCAACAAAAACAACATCATCAGAGAGGATTGCAAAGGTGGCTGCATAATCCCTGTGATCCGTTTGAGGTGTCGAGATCCAGAATATTTAGATATGCCGTTCGAGGGTTTCTTCTGAACGAACTTGGCTTTTCAGGCTGCCGTAGACTCCAGAAGAAATCACCCCCAAACCTTGTTATTTGTCACGTACACAAGACTCCCTCCATCACTCTTTATGGGAGTTGTCTGGTGTCAGATGATCTCCAGAGAAAATTGGGATCAAGCTTCTGGGGTTGCTTGAAAGGCACCTGCATGCTCCGCGGACGGTCAGGCCTGCAGCGAAAATTGAGAACTGCATCCAAGGACGGAAACATCCCGCATACGCTGGAAACCCCTGTGGCAGTGTTCTTCGCGTCACGATCTTACTGGATGAGGGTTGCGACACCTCCTTGACACATGATTGGACTGCCGCCAGCTTCTTTGATCGCTGCGTGGCGTGTCACAGCCAGCATGCTCCTCTTTTTCCATATATGATTGCCCTGCTGCATTGGGTCGAGCCGCACATGAGAGGCCCCCCGCTATTCTGGCAGTTTGGTGGAGGGTAAGCGCGAATGCAGCGCAAGACAGCTAGCCATGGTACCATCATTCTGCTCCTCGGAGCCTTGTGCCTGCTGAGTTGTGGGCCGGCATGGCTTGTTCCCGCAGGGATGGCTGGTTCTGTGCCACGTCAGATGATGTCACAGCAGGCCGTGGCAGCTAGTGCTTTGACAGTGGGCGCTTTAGCCCGTGGCCGGATTTCCGGAGCTTTGATGGGTGGTTGCTTTGCTGCGTGCTTGCTGCCACTGCTTCTCGCACGAGGCTCTAGAATGGGAATGGCATCGGTGGCTCCCTTTGGCTGCATCGAGGATGGTGCCACCGACCCCTCTCTGTTCATACAAACAAATGTGAATTTGGGCGACAAGAAGATGGACTTCATGAAGGCTGCTTCGAAAGCTGTTGCCGAATCTCTTGGGAAGCCCGAGAGCTACGTTGCAGTCTCAGTCCAGGATGGCCAAGACATAATTTGGGGTGGCAGTGACGCGCCATGCGCGTTGTGCAAAGTCATTTCACTTGGATCCATCAACAAGGAGAACAATGGCGCCCTGACCAAGAAGGTTTCCGAACTACTGGCAGAGTTCGATGTGCCTCCAAATCGCATATATGTGAACTTCTTTGATCTTGAGCGGCAGAATGTGGGCTACAACGGTGCCACCTTTGCAGGCTGAGAGAGAGTAGGTGGTCCCTTTGGCAGCAAAGCACTAGCCACTTTAGAGACATTTGCCGCAAGTGTCGCTGTAAGCCAAGAAAAGAATTCGGTCATGCATCATGGCTTGAAAGTTTGAGGGTTGAACCATGCCGCATCTATTGATGTTGACGCACGAGAAAGTGCAGAGCAGACCGAGGCCTCCAAATGGAGTCCTGCGCCCAGCGCCTCTTGTCTAGTCAGTGCCACCTGCGAAAACCTTGAGCTGAAAGCAGCAAAGCTGTTACTGTCCTGACTGTGAGCTGGCGTACAGAAGCGTTTCTTGCATTTGTTTCTCGCATTCGACAAGAATGTCTTGATCTTCAAGTCCAAGCAACACGTATTACACGTGTGATCTTTTTCATTGCCCCAAAAGACGAAAGCCCTTCGACTGGCCCCTGCAAGCACCAATGGCAGATGCATCTTCCCGTTCAGGCCAGGCCCAAAGAATTGTTGACTGTCAAAGTTTAACTGCACGAACAGTGGACGAGAGGAGCTGAAGAGAGAGGCATAACCGCACAGTCGATGCAGATAAAGCGGGGATTCAAGCCATAGGAGGTCCCAGGCACCAGGAGCATACAGAAAATCTCAGTCAGCGCTGCATGTCACTGTTGTGAGCTCGCCACAGGCACATGCAAAATAGAGGAACTGCCATGTTCATCCTTGCACTGCACCCCTGCAAATCCATGCGCAGATATGAATGGCTGCTACGCATTTCTATTCCGCTAGCGACCCAAGCTGATGTTTCAGTAGCTCAGGAGTGCACAACTTTCGCTCCAATAAGCGTGTAAACTCTGAGGGAAATCTCATGGCAGGTGCCTTTGATGCATTCCTTTCAGCTTCCGCCGGCGCTGGCGGCGGCATGTGGTCAGTCTGCAAGACGTCGTCACGCCGGCTTCGCGCATGTTGCATCCTTTTGGAAAAGTCTTTCCTCCCCAGCGTTCAAGGTTTGCGGCGGCTGTTCTGATGCCTGTGGAGGTAGCAAAGACGCGCAACTTGACGTGCAAGTGGCCACCTGCCAGAGCGTTCATCATGTTCTAACGCTCGCCAAAGGAACGCCAGTTGTCTTGAAACCCTTGAACGACTTGGCAGGTATCAGCGTGAGCCAGGGAGGAGAGAGAACAATGATCAGCACAATGAGGCATGCTGACTTTGCGCAGATTGCCTTTGCGAGCGGACTGTAGTACTTTGGACCTGCTTCATATTACAACTGTTGAGACCCGCTCGCCTACAGGCAAATAGTTGAGGCTGACGGCTTGGCTGGTCTTTTCACTGGCGTCTCGGTGAAGTGCTTGGAGAAGGGCACAGAGAGACTTGGAGCAATTCATTTACAAGCCTTCTGCCTGTCTCAGATGTGTGACAGATGTGCAGCCAGGAATTTTGTGTTCTTCTACGTGTACCAAGCCGTGAAGAGGTTTGCGGCAGAGCGCCAGGTGCAAATTACCAATACTGTGAGCTTGTGCCACCCGGATGCCTAAGTATTGCTGATGCCCTGCTGTGCATGGACATGTTTGTACGGTTTACGGTCTTCTGCGTTAATATTACTTGCGCAACGGAGACAAGCTGACACACCTGTGCCAACGAGGTTTGGGCTTTCTGGCTGGCATTGTGACTATGACCTCAATCAACCCAATGGAAGTCCTCTCCACAAAGCTCCAAGTTGGATCGGCAGCTAGAGGTCCACTGGATCAGCTTCGCCTCGTGATCAGCCAGGAGCTGCTTTAAATGCAAGGGCAACAGGAGTCAAACACGCATGTCGTCTCTCGCAGCAGTGTTGCCAGTGTGTGAGGATGGCTTGGCCGGACTCTTCAAAGGATACTGGTTTAACCTCATACTTTGCAGCAATCCAGCCATCCAAAATACGATTTTTGACAAGCAGCTTGGCGTGTGGAGAACACAATGGCAACACCCGCCAGATGTACATTTTGCACATGTGTCCAACTGCATCCAACTTCCAAGGATCCAGGAAGCCATGCTGCTGAGAAAAAAGCAGCGGGCCGCGTCAGCCAAAGTGTCGCTGACATCATTGGAAGTGAAGCTTGACCGCATCAGATCCAGTTCAGATAAACGTGCCGGATGTTCAGCTCTTGCTTTGGAAGGAGCGGGTAAACTGTTGCTCTGCAAGCCGACTTGGCTAAGGTTCATGCTCGGCGCTTTGGCTAAGGCCATCGCCACCATGATTACTTTCCCGGTCACTCGCATCAAGACCATGCTGCAGGCACGCGGCAAGCGCAAGCCCTGTTCAGAGCTAATGCTCTCCACTTGCAGCACAGCTTTTTGCAGGGACCAGGGGGCGTCCATGCATGTTACTTGTAGCAAAATGAGGTTTCATTCTTTCACATGTAATGTGGGTGCCTTGTCATGGAATGCATAGTGTTGACCAAGCATTATGGCAAGGCGGGTGAGCCGCCTATACCGGAAGAGGAGCGAGAACACAATGACGACGAGAAGACGCAGGCTCCGCAAATCCTGCGAAACCTCTCCTTCAGCCACAAGGCCTGATACCCTGCCTTGCTTCGCTTTCAGTAGGCAACTTGAGGCGCATGTTTGTGAGGCATTGGAAGGGCAACGGCCACGAGAACGGCTTTGCGAACTGTACAGAGGGCTGCGGCCCACTTTGATGAGACTTGTTTGGAAATGTTCTTGCAATTCTGTACTCGACGCAACCCGTGATTCATCTCTCCTGGCTCTCTCAGCCTCTGGCATTTCTGTATTTTCTGTCACAATTGGCTGCTAAGAAGAACTGGCAAAATGCAAGGAAGGGGGTTCTACAAGCGGCGCTGATGTATTTGGCTTCTTGGCAGAGCTGTGCACGTGGTCCTGCACGCTTAGTGCAGTCAAGCATGGATAAGCATGCCGCATGCTTGAGGCGAAAGATCAAGTTACAAAGATTGTTGTGGCGTGCCTGGTTTTGCATTTTGGTATTTGCATGTTTGTAAAGGTTCCAACGCGCAACTACTAGTTGGTTTTTGGTCTAATTTCCTTCCCGAATTCCTCAACTTAAGCATGCTACCCCAACTGGCCAGGGCAGATTTACCAACACAGCTTATTACCTGCAGGCATTTTACTTAGAATGCATGCGGAGTGACATCTGGCAGGTGCCTACGAGCAGTTGCAAAAAAAAGAAGACTGGTGGCTAATTAGCTTCTCAATGGAGCAGGTTTTTGGCAGTCCCTGCCAGGTAGCTTGTGATCATTAATTATGCATGCCTCAAGCCGAGAACATCTCGTGCTGCTGTACATGTGTGTGAAATATGTTGAATACCCCGCTCGGTGGAGCTGCACAGGGCAGAGAATCTGTCAACTCGATATCAGGAAGCAGCAAGCACTTGCCGCTTAACCATGATGCCCGGCAACAAGCATGTCGAAACGAAGGTGAAGACATGCCGCTTGAAACTCACCATGGCTTTGATACTGTGAAAGATGTTCCGCCAATGCGTTGGTCAATCAGATTTTGTGAGCATACCCCACTGAGAGCATGCAGCGCAACAGATGGCTTTATCACATCCATGGTGAGGTCATGACCGCAGTAGTTATCCTCAACCATAAGTAAAAGAGCAAAGCTCGCTCTTTTGGCGTGGAGCGGGGCTCGCTGGGAGAAGCACCAGCAGGAGCACCCTTGCTGCTTAAGGAGCAGACTTGTTAGAAAGTTGAGGTGCTTCTCAGACCCAGAGACTGAGTGAACCTTTCCTGCATGGAAAGTTCACTTTGCCTCCTCCCTGCCATAAGAGAGACTAGATCTTATCTAGGCCGCAAAGTGGCCTGAAAAAGTTGCTGCAGGCATGCTGCAAGTCAGTTGATTCAGCTCAGTTGATTCAGTCGTAACCCACAAATACTCCAGAGCCTGAATTTAACTTTCGGCAACTTAGACAAGCTTTGGTCTCGCGCACTTTGCTCAGTGAGCCCACACTAGGTGCCAGTCAGGCCTCTGGCATCCAGGCGTGGAAGCTCAGCATTTTGGGGTTAAGGGTGTTGCTGCGCCTTCCTTTCTGGCAGTCATGTTCTCGGCCTAGGTTTAGTACGCAGGCCACCGGAGTTGCTGAGCGGCTTTAGCCAAGGGGACGCTGCTGTTTCAGTTCGCGGGTTTAAGTATTGATTGCTCAATAACTTTTGAAGCAGCGCTTCCTGGAGAAGAGACACTCATGGATTATGGATTGTGCAAGAGGCGTCGTCGGCAAAGAGACTGGACCTCAGCCTTTGACGAGCAAGAAGCCGCGTGCCAACCAGACACGACTCTGAGGCCCTGCAACGGCGGAGTTCCAGAAAGCGGTCCTGCTCTTGCACACGCTTGCAATCCAAGGAAATAATTGTAGAACGAAGCGAGGTGAGCGACACCATCGCGGCAGTAAAGGGTTACAAACCTGTTCGACACTAAGCTGTTTGCGTTAGTTACCGTTGGGCATCTTTCGAAATTGCTTTCGGCTCGGCTGCTCAAGCACCAGCATCCGCGCCGGTGTTTTTCTGTCTTTTTCTCAGGTGTCGGATCTAGGCGATCAGCCAGATCCTAGCCACTCGACACGATTGTGTGGATGTGCAAACAGGCAAGTGCTCACACAGAAGAATGCAGGCACCTAGACCCTTGACACATCCAAGGCTATTTGATCATCAGGGCGGGGCCACCTAGCTTCTTCCGAATGCATGTCCGTTTGCCTGCATGCATTTGCATGGGCGCCCGTTCTGACCTGTTGTTCTGAGGGCCTGTCGTCCGAGATTGATGAGCTGTATTTGTATTATGCCCCGCGGCAGAGACAAGTTTTACAGGTCACGTGAGCCAGGCAAGTTGAAAACAGAACCGAGGTGTTTGCCCCCTTCGGTCGCTGACCTACTTTTCCCCTATCCTGCAACCCGGTAGTAGGCCAGCCTTGCTCCAAGGCGCCATCCAGAGCGTACGGGTTGTCAAAGATGAGACCAGTGGCATATGCACTGGCACAGCCTATGTGAAGTTTGGCCAGTACCTGAGAAGCAGCTGCACGGTGCAGATTTTATCGCTCAAGCTTCAGAAGATGCGAGGTGTTGCCGATGATGCTCTTCTAGCCATACAGACGATCTGCGGGAACCCGCTTCCCGTAAGCGGCTTGGTTCCTCCCTTGGTGTCGATGCTTGCAGAATCCGATGAGCTTGAGGACGGATCAACCATTGGTGTGTTCGTCAAGCCAGGACAAGGACACTGGCTTCGAAGGTGGTTAAAGAGACAACCAGCTGAGAACAAGGGAAACTGGGTTTGCTGCTGCTCGGGAGGTTTTATGTCAGAATAGCAGAGACCGCTTGCAGGAGGCGCCGCCTGAGCATGGCAGGGTCTAGCAGCTCCACTGTGGATGTGTCATCCGCGCGTTGCGACTCAAATTGGTGCCGGCAGTTTGCGCACATAATGTGATTTACTCCGGCTTACTCCGGCTTTGCAGACCACTTGTGACCTGCCAAGCCCTCACACTTTTGTGAGTTTGGGTAGCACTGCAAGTAGTACACTTCGCCAAAAGTCTTTCCAGAGAGAAATCCTTATTTGGGCATGAAATTGGGCAGTGAGGCTTTGGTCTTAAGGCTCTAAGCTAAGTAGCCTCGTTTAAGACAACTCACTCGGCCGCTCAGCAGCGGTCGTTCTCGTCGGAGTAAGTCCTGGTGTCCAGATGTTGGTCTGTGAGCACTGCCAATCTTGACTCGTCTTAAAATCATGGCTTTCGATTGCGCTTGGGGAGGAGACTTGCTTGCGGGCTTCAATGTAAAATGGCACTTCCATACTGTGGGACTGTTATGTACTTCCAGCCTGAAGTGTCCAGAACAGAGGTAGCATGTGGGTCCAGGTACCAGTTGGGTGGAAGGGCGCCAACTTTCCTTCCGCTGATTGCAATCTGGAAGGTGAACACGAGCCATGATTCATGACGCATTTGATGTCAATTGAAGAAGGCAGTAGGATAGGAAAGCAATCTGGCATACAAAGCAACGTTGTGCCTACAGACATACCGTCAACAAGGCATGGTGGGCATTGTAATGCACTGTAGCTCAGCAGCCATGCGCCCTAAGGATATTATCGTGCAAATTCCATTGGCAGTTCAGAGGTCTGAGATGACCTTGCATGCGTTACCCGAGCCCCGTGAACCAAACGCGTAAGATGAAAACAAGTCCTCAAGGCAAGACACAGACTCGTGAAACTCTTCAAGTAAGAGTGCGTCAAAGAAAGACGAAACTGTACAACGAGAAACGTAGGCCTTTCCATTATTTCGGCAACATCTTACAATACATCTCAAAAGCTCGGTCTAATTAGTTATTTGGCTTTTCGCTAGAGCAACACCTGCTGCCTTACTGCAGCTGGAGCGTCTGGCATGGGTGCCTGCCTCAGCCCTGTAGTAGCTGGTGCTCGAAAGAGCAGACGGGATTTCTCAAAAGCATGGGACTGGGTCATTTCAACCAGTACTACGCAAACATGGCAGTATAGAAACACTACAGGAATCACCTTAAGCTTCAGAAGGTCTTCGCAAGAAGTCTGCTTTCCGGTGGCACACGGGAAATTAACGTGTTTGGGTCGAAATTTTGTTGGAATCTGTGAAGAGTGTGCAGGGGTCTACGGCCTGATCTCAAGGCCCTGTAGGTTCAGAAACACCACCAGGAGTTCAAGGAGATGTTCACCCGCAAGCCTGAATTGGAACATTTATGGGCCAGTCCTGGGCTAGCTTGACTGACATGGACATTACCTGAAAGTGCATCCTACGCTGTAGGCTTGGTCGTAACACTTAGACGCTCACAAGCTGAAGTGAGCGCAACATGCAATGTAGCACAGACAGGTGCTGCGTGCGCACGAAGACGACCTCAAAAGCTGGCTGAGGGGGAGACGCCGTTTTGGGAGGACAAAATCCAGCGGAGTCCTATAGAGTGATTGCATTCTTGGCCAGTGCTGACTCAGGAGGTTGGCAAGCCAACGGCCTGCGCCCTGTTTTTGCGGCTTCACCATAGCCCAGAGGCAAGCTGTTGATATCTGCGTTGCTGACGATAGTTGGCTCCAAGCTCAGCAACTGCATGCTACATGGGTCAAATCCGGTCAAACCCCACGCTTGCTCGATCACGATAAGGACGTAAGCACGATATACAGCTCCTTGCATGACTGACAGCACAGCCCATGGAAATGGACCAAGCGTTCGGGCATGGCACGATTACGATTGGGAGGCAGACGTGACTTCAGCCACACATGAGTTTCTTAGCTATTTTCACCGGGAATCCTATTAACTTTTTGATATATGCTTTGATTTGTTCAAGTATTTTTTTTGGTGGTTGTCCCTTTGTCCCAGAATATTGCAAATTGCAGCATTTAGGGCTTTTGAAAGGCTGCCAACTCTGCAAATTACAACATTTGCAGCTTTTACGCCATTTGTAGCTCTTCCAAGGTTATGGCTACTGCAAATTACAGCGTTTGTGGCTCTTGCAAGACTAGGCAGACGACAAATGATAGTTTTTGGAGGTTTTGAGCTCTTGAAATCTTTTGAATATTGTGCACTAAATGAAGCGTCCTCACATTTTGGACTACGGAATTCCCGTGTTGCCTTTACTCATAATATTATTGCTCTTCCCCTTTTCAGTCATGTCGGTATACCTGTTCATATTGTTATCCGTATTGTTTTTATGGCATGCATATTACCGCTAACAGTATTTTTGGGCGGCTCTGCACTTCCGAAAAAATCAATAACATGCAAATCACACAAACTTGGCATTCGATTGCATGTTATCTTCGTCCATGTTGTGCAAGTGGGGGGGCTGCCTCCCCCAACCCCACGCCTCGTTTTTGAAACAGATTAAACACCTGGGCTGGGCCAAAGTGTGCTATCAAAAATCCAGTCAGAACCTACTTGTTCTCATCATGTTTCATACGTTGTACTTACTGGTACTCCGCTTATCCGTATCATTTTCTGAGCTCTCGCGTGGAGCTGCTTCAATTTTTGACACCAAATCAAGGTAGCATGGTGGAAAGCTTCCTGAGCGATCTGACACTGTCGGTTGCCAGTTCACAAGTGGGGCCAGCAGGCAGTTTCACAAAAATGTGCGGGGCTTGTTTAGGAAGCATTTTTGAAAGGCCGTCCCCTGATAGGCGCACCGGATTGGGCATCGCAGAATGGGCCATTCACTGTAAAGTTTTGGTGGGCTGGAGTTGCTGGAGACACG